GCAGGCTCCCTGCTGAGCAAGGAGCCTGATGTGGGACTCGATCCCAGGACCCTGGGATCATGACCTGGGCCGAAGGCAGCCGCTTAACCGACTGAACCACCCAGGCGTCCCTCCTCTTATTAATTTTATACAGTCTTTAGGAACATATAAATAGACGAGAGAGAAAATTGTGTCTTACTGAGACTCAGTTTTGTAATATGAATGAATGCCGGTATTACAGAAACGTTGGCTCTTCTTATTAGCATTTAATCCAAAGAGCTTATGGTATTGAGTCTGACACTCTGTAACTCTGCTCCTTGGATCATTTGTTCATTACTCCAGTTTGGAATAAAATTATGTCCAAGTTAGAGGAAGAAAATTAGTCGTAATCCATGTCAGAATAAGATGTTAACAATGAATATTTTAATGTTTTGATCATAAAATTATTCTCAGGTTAAGTAATAGTACACTTTTACTCAGGCATTCTCGGTTTAATTAGATTTTGTTTCCTTTGTTCCTCTCTTTGACCAGAAATATCAAGCAGAAGCGGTTAAAGTCTCAGACAAAAGTCATTCCTGAATTGGTAGGTTCTCCTACCCAGTCTACCTCCAGTAGGGCCGCTTACTCTGCGAGCCAGAAGACAAGTGCTAGTGTTTCTTCAGGGGTGACGTCTGGTGACTCCTCAGACTCCGCGGGATCGTCCGAAAGAACGAGAAGTAGGCCTGTCACTCTACACAATGGCTCTACGTTATCTGGTGAGACTATCCAGCACTCACATGTGTAGCCCTGCCAGTTACTGTGGGTTCAGAGGAAAGAATAGATGAGACTGGCCTACCAGTTGAGGAATTTACAATTCAATGATAGAGTCAGAAGTTAACAAATACGCAGCAGTTACTATATGTTTGATAAGTGCTGGTCTTTGCAAATGGAGCAGCCACATTCTATGCAAACTTGAATCTTCTACATTTTAAATCATGGGATATAAATATCACACTTTGTATGCAAAATATGCTTTTGTTTTTCTTTAAAAAAAAAAAAAAGGCATCATCATGTGAGCTTAAAACTGGATGGCCTAGTAAATTCTAAGCTCTTCATGTTCTTGGCTGTTTGGTAGTATAACCACAGCTGATCGTAACCCTTTGTTAGCATTGTGGGAATGAGGCTGTGGTGGGTGTATACTTCCCTGTTGCTCTGAGTGATTTTGGTGACTTGTGATGATAGTGTAAAAATTACTATAATTTAAAATAATAGGACCAAAGAGGTAGAATGCAGCCACATAGTAGAGTGGCAAGCCTTAGAGAAGAGTCTGGATTACTTAATTGGGTCCCTTGATGAGTAAGGGAATCACATGATGAATTCTGCTTCAGGAAGGTCAGTCTCACTTTGGCAGTAATATGCAGGGAAGGGGAAGGATCTAGAAACTGAGTCAATGTGCTGGGGAGTGGAATGGAATAGAATAGGAGCAGTCAGAGTGGCAAACGGCAGAGCAGTTTCAGAGGAAGAAACACGACTTGGTGACTGGTGTCCTTCTAACGCAGCCACTTTCTTTAATGCAGAGTTGGGGTTGTGTTTGTGGAGCAAAATTTTATCTTTTAGCAACATGCTCCCGCTCACTTTGATGAAACTCTCATTCTGTGATATGTATGTAAGGATGGAGTGGACGAAAGAGCGGGAAGCTTCTCTGTACCATGTTTGCCCTGGAGCATGCACTCATTCAGTGAAGTAGCAGGGAGAGGTGACCTGTACTGTTATTTTTTCTGTCCCTCCCTCCCCCTTTCTGGTAGAATATGGGAAAATGACCTCTTGAGCTGAAAGCATGTGTGGTACCACTGTGCTGTTACAGGGGTGATTAGCAAAAGGCCTGAAAGTGTGTCCACTGACGTGAGATTAACAGTGGTTGTCTTTCCTACAGGAAATACCGGTCTCATAGGATAGAAGTGGGGGCTAATTACATTTTTAAATGGAAGTTTATGAAATATGTAAACTGTATTTTCTGAATCCAACTCAGGATTAATATGCTCCTTTCAGAAATAAGAGAATAAACTTGATTTGTAATGCTGATTACCTACTTTTGAATGCCAAAATTTTATGAGCCGGTCTTTGAAACAGTTTTTAAAAATATAATCTCTTCTAAGTATTTTGAGCATCTTCTTTTAATCTGTTGTTACGAAACAACTGCTTGTGTGTATAAAGATAGAATATGTGTGAAGAACTGTTGATGCTTTGTTTTTCTTAGAAAGTGAAATGGAAGATTCCTTAGGTACCTCTTCATCATCAGCTTCAAATAGTTCAGAGGAAAGCAAAGAGAGTTCAAGACCTCGTGAATCTTCCTTACGTAGTGGGCTGGCCAGAAGCAGTAATCTCAGGGTGACCAGAACCAGAGCTGCTCAAAGAAAAACTGGTGAGAGACTCAGTGTTTGGTACTTTGGAGGAATGTATATCAATTGAGGGAATCCATAAGCTAAACATGGAATGGTTTATTGTTTTAATGTATCTACTACATATGGTTAAATGTCCTTTTTAGATTTTTTTTTTTAAGATTTTATTTATTTATTTGTCAGAGAGAACACAAGCAGGGGGGACAAGCAGGCTCCTCACCGAGCAGGGAGCCCAATGCAGAACTCGATCCCATGACCCTGGGATCATGACCTGAGCTGAAGGCACATGCTTATGCCGACTGAGCCACCCAGGTGTCCCTCCTTTTTAGATTTTTTAAAAATTGAGATATAATTGACATATAATATTCTATTTCAGGTGTACAACATAATGATTTGATATTTGTATACACTGCAAAATGATCACAAGAAGTGCAGTTACCGTCAGTTACTGTACATAAAGTTTTTATTTCTTGTGATGAGGACTTCTAAGATTTACTCTTAGCAGCTTTCAGATATGCAAGAGTATTAACTATATAGTCATCATGCTGTACATTACATCCCTATGACTTATAACTGGAAGTTTGTACCTTTTGATCTCCTTCACCTCCCCTCCCCCACAAATCTGTTCTGATCAGTGAGCTTAGTTTTTTGGTTTGTTTTTGTTATTTTGTCTGTTAGGTTCCACATACAAGTGAAATCACACAGTATTTGTCTCTCTCTGTTGACTTATTTCGCTTAGCATAACACCTTCAATGTCCATCCATGTTGTCACAAATGACAAGATTCCATTCTTTTTCCTTTTTTTTAAGAGTTTATTTATTTATTTGACAGAGAAGGAACACAAGCAGGGGGAGTGGGAGAGGGAGAAGCAGGCTTCCCGCTGAGCAGGGAGCCCGATGCAGGACTCGATCCCAGGACCCTGGGATCATGACCTGAGCTGAAGGCAGACACTTAACAACTGAGCCACCCAGACGCCCCTCCATTCTTTTTTATGACTGAATAATATTCCATTGTATAGATACACCACATCATCTTTTCCATTCATCCGTCGATGGGTGCCTTGTTTGTTTCGGTATCCTGGCTTTTGTAAGTAATGCTGCAATGAAATTGGGGTGCGGATATCTTTTTAAATTAGTGCTTAGTTTTCTTTGGATAAATACCTAGTAGTGCAATTGCTGGATCATAGGGTAGTTCAAGTTTTAACTTTCTGAGGAACCTCCATACTGTTACTCACAGTGCCTGCACCAGTTTGCATTCCCACCAACAGTGCATGAGGGTTCCTTTTTCCCTACATCTCGCCAACCCTGTTTCTTGTCTTTTTGATGATAGCCATTCTAACAGGTGTGAGATGACATCTCACTGTGGTTTTGATTTGCATTTCCCTTATTGGTGATGTTGAACATCTTTTCGCATTCTGTTGGCCATTATTTGTATGCCATATTTTGAAAAATGTCTACTCAGATCGTCTGTATTTTTTAATCTGATTTTTTTTTTTTGCTAATGAACTGTATGAGTTCTTTAAATATTTTTAACAATTAACCCCTTATCACATACATGATTTGTGCATATCAGTAGGTTGCCTTTTTATTTTGTTGATGATTCCTTTTGCTGTGCAGAGGCTTTTAGTTTGATGTAGTCCCACTTGTTTATTTTTGGTTTTTATTGCCTTTACTTTTGGTGTCAGATCCAAAAAAATCATTGGCAAGATCGAAGGAGCTCACCGCCTGTGTTTTCTTTTAGGAGGTTTATGGTTTCAGGTCTTACATTCAAGTCTTTAGTCCATTTTTGTGTATGTGTAAGATAGTAATCTCGTTTCGTTCTTTTGCATGTTGGCTGTCCAGTGTTCCCAACACTGTTGAAGAGACTGTCCTTTCTCCATTGTATATTGCCTCTTCTGTTGTAAATTAATTGACCATGTAGGCGTGGGTTTATTCTGGGCTCTCTCTTCTGTTTTCATCCTTAGGGCTGCCCCCCTCCCTTTTTTTTTTTTTTTTTTTAAGAGAATGCAAGAGCAGGGGTGGGGAGAGGGAGAGAATCTTAAGCAGGCTCCATACCCAGCACAAGGCAGGACTCGATCTCACAACCCTGAGATCATGACCTGGCCTGAAGTCAAGAATCAGACACTTAACCTGAGACACCCAGGCGCCCCCATCCTTAGGGCTTTTTAGATTTAGAAGGGAAATCTATTTTGGCATTAAAAGGTATGGGGTAACTGGGTGATAGACATTAAGGACAGCACATGATGTAATGGACACTGGGTATTATATAAGACTGATGAATAGTTGACCTCCACTTCTGAAACTAATAATATATGTTAATTGAATTTAAATTTTAAAAATTAAAAAAATAAAATATTTATAAAAATGTTCACAAAGAAAAGGTAGGGAACGTCAGTTCTAAAATAATAAATTCATTAAAAAATGTTGAAATAAGGAAGACTTTTCTAATCTTATTGCTACTTTATTTCTAGGTCCAGTTTCTTTAGAGAATGGATGTGGCAGAAAAGCCACTCGAAAGAGAGTCTATTTAAGTGACTCTGATAACAATTCAGTGGAGACCGGTGAAAGTCTAAAAGCCAGGACTGGAAATAACCGGAAAGTGCTACGGAAGTGTGCTGCTGTGGCTGCCAATAAGATAAAGCTCATGAGTGACGTAGAGGAGAACTCTAGCTCTGAAAGTGTCTGTTCTGGCCGTAAGCTGCCTCACCGTAATGCTTCTGCTGTGGCTAGAAAAAAGTTACTACATAATTCTGAAGATGATCATAGCTTAAAGTCCGAAATTGAAGAAGAGGAGCTAAAAGATCGAAATCAGCCATCACCACTGTCCAGTTCTCATGCTGCCCAGAATACTGTGAATGAGTCTGAAAACGGGGATTCAGAGTCAGAAAGTGATTTGCGAGTAGCCCGCAAAAATTGGCACACCAATGGTTATAAGTCGCATGCTCCAGCAACTTCTAAAACAAAATTTCTGAAAATAGAGTCTTCTGATGAAGACTCCAAAAGTCATGATTCAGACAATGTACATAACAGAACTGCTGGTCCATCCACGTCTGGGCAGAAACTTAAGGCAGAGCGCGTCTCAGAGGAAGAGGAGGAAGCAGATTCTGAACCAAGAAAGTATGCCAGTAGGAAATACAACACAGGTCGCAAGAGTCTTACTTTCCTTAAAAAAGCAAAGATCTTCAGTGATTCGGAGGATTCCGAATCTGAAGAGCAAGATCAAGAAGATGGCAGCTATCACAGAATGGAAACAAACCTGATTAAAGGGGGTTCGAAGTGTGAACCAACTACTGGGTCCCAGTGTTTCTCAGATCACGTATCTGAGACCGATTTGGATTCATATGATGACACTGCAAAAGAAAAACCAAACCATTTTAGGAAAGGTAATTCAAAACCTGTAACCTTGACTCACTGGCCTGTTCTCACTGTTCTCCCCTTACAGCATACGTTTGTTTTTCCCGATGAAACTTCTCTTCACCAGTGGTCTTCTGTCCACCCCCTGCATTCTCAGTCGTTTCTGTGCATCCCTGATGTTCTGTGTGCATGAAAAACTGGTTGTCAAATATGTTTAGTTTTATTCACAAGACAGGCAGTCTTGACCTTAACAGCTATTTTTAGTAAGATTTCACTTCTTGTATTGGCTGTGGGTTTCAGAAAAGCGGAGGCAAGCACATTTATAAGCTGTGGTGTTAGCCAGTTTCAGAAGAGGGAAGAAAAGGGTAGGACCATTTACTTGAAAAGGGATATGTAAGTAAGAATAACAGCAGCGGCCAGCCAGCAGAACGGCCACTGAGCTGTTCTGTGGGTCAGGGAAATTGGTCTCCATGCTTTACGTGTATTAACTAGTTAAGTCTTCGTATCTTTTATGAGCTAGATATTATTATTATTGTCCACTTTACTCATGATAACTCTGGGGCACAGAGGGGTGAAATCACTTGCTGATTTAAGGCTGTATTTATTCTTGGTCCTTGGGGGCTGATGACAGATATTGAAGAGCAGGAGGCAGCTAAAGCTAAGATTAAAGGTGTTGGTGTGATTGGAACTTGCGAAGTGAAAAAAAGTTTCAGGGAGGCTGAGGGTCAGTGATTAGTTTGCATACCCTAGTGCACTGGTAAAGAGAGGTTAGTCTGTATTCATGTAAATAAAATGTTTGTGTCTCAAGTGTGTTGTGCATGTAAATAGCAAGCAAGGCACAGGGTGTAAGTGCTGGGGATGTGCTGTGCTTGTGACTGGTGCTGAGGCCGCACGAAAGGTCACTGCTCTTAGGCATTAAGAGCCTGAACGTTCACTGCCATCCTCTTTCCAAGGTAGTAAGAATTCTGGACTTCGGTTGTTGAAAATGTTGGGCATTTAATTTCGTTACACATATTACTCTTACAGATTAAAGGAATACTCTTGATTTTTAATTTTTAGATTCTACATCACAAGACCATGGACAAAGCAGGAAAGTTTCCAGGAAAAGGGTCTGTTCCAGTGACTCAGACAGCAATTCACAGGTGGTTAAGAAGTCCTCAAAAGCCAAAACGGGTCTCCTCAGGACTCCTCGAAGACGTGCAACCACCGCTGCCAGTAAGCTGAAGCTCACGAGTGACGTGGAAGATGTCAGTTTAGACAGCGCATGCACCAGAAGCAAAAGTGGAAGGCAAAAGCCCCTCCGTTCTGCGTGTGCCCCAGCTAAGACAACGGCGAGTGATTCTGAGGGAGACGTCAACTGTGAAGTGCCAAATGAGCAGTGTGCTTGCCAGGGGAGGCCGCCCGCAGCCAGCTCAGAAGGCAGTGTGAAAAGCATTCATCCGTCTTTAAACGGAGACTCGGACTCTGAAGGGATGCCCAGGCCCGCACCCAAGAGCAGGCACACCAGGAGTCACAGAACAAATGTTGCACCTTCTAACACAAAGAATTCCTCGGTTGGGTCTTCAGAGGAAGAGTCAAAAAGCCATATTCCAGGGGGTGAGATGGGTCGAAAATGTTCTTCGGAATCAGCTTTGGTGCAGAAAGCTACTGCAGAGAACGCCTTTGAGGAGGACCTGAATTACGGGCTGCGCAGGTGGAACGGCAGGAGGCTCAGGACCTACGGGAAGGCCCCATTCAGCAAGACCAAAGTGCTGCGGGAGGCGCAGGGAGCGGCCGAGGCGGAGGTGAAGAGGAAGAGGCCGCATCCTGAGCCCCAGCGCGGGCAGGTGGCTGAAAGCGGAGGCGCTTCCAAGCTGGGGGCCGACCCCGGCCCCAAATCCGACTCCGAGTTGGCGTCTGTGACTGAATCAGATGTGGACTGTGCCGATGACGCGAAAACCAAAAAGAGGAGAACGAGAGGAAAAGCAAAAGCGGTGAGAAAAGGTAAAGCTTGTGCAGCCGCCGCATCTAGAGGCGCGAGGCGGCAGAGACAGAGCAAACGGCCTAGGCTAAGTGTGGACGATAACGACTGGGAGGACTTGGACTATGCAAAATCGAAAAGAGGTCTTCGACGTTCGAAAATAAAAACGAGAAATCAGGGCAGAAGGACCGTGAGATACCACGATGGGGATGATGACAGAAGCTTAGAAAATGTGTTAGATTTTGATGATTGCACCTTATGACCTTGAGAGAAAGCCAGTTCATTGAAAGAGGAAATGGACTGGAATTTATGGTGAAAGTTGGCTGTTGAAATTATTTTTGTCCTACAATTCAGGGAATATATTTATATTTTTCTATGAAAAGTTATGAATGTGACTAAATCATGACTGTTATTTTTATTTGCACTTGCTTGCCTTTGTAGCAGCGCTCAGCCCAGGTGCCAAAATATGCTTCATTTTGGGGGCAGATCTACTTTGACAGTATTTAACTACAGATAGCAAGAATTTGAAATCTGTTCAACACTAGACATCCTGGTTATCAAAACCGATAAGCATTACTCTCATGGTAGTAAGTGTCGCGCAGTTACTTTCTGAGCGTGTCAGGAGGTGGTAGTTTCTAACCCCTGTCCTGTTGTAGTCGAACAATTTCACGTGACCTATGTTTACAGTTTCCTCATAAATATTGTGTGCATACTGACATTACAATCATGGGAGGTGTAACCATGATCAGTAGGCGAGGTACCTACCACTTCCCCCCCCCCCTCCCCTGGCTACTTGAGCAAAATGCATTATACCAGATTTGGTCATTTTCATTGAAATGGTTTCTTTCCAAATGCTGTTGGGTCTTTTCTCTCTTTTTCTTTATTTTTAAGGAAAATATCATCACTTTTATTTTATAAACTTGAATTTATAAAGTGCTGGTAAATTATTTTTTAAAATGTTTTGATTGTATATTTTAAACCTCTAAGGCCCCGACTGTAGTCCTAGCATTTTCTTTTAAATTGTGCACTAACAGAATGCTATATAATTTGTCTTTCCAAGATCTCCTGGTTTCTATGTAAGGGATTTAACCAAAATCTTGGTCTTCCATAGTCTTACTCTGTGAAATAGAGGAGTTTGTGTGCCTTAGATTTAGGAAAAGTGTGTTCTTTAATAGAGTGTACAGGGCCAAGAGAGTATTTAAATTATATGTAGTTTCCCCCCATTTCCATTGAGATTGTAGAGTTGAGTTTTGTTAAGAGTGCAATCGCAGATCTCATCTATATAGGAAAATAGTTAAACGTCATTCTCCATCTCTTTGTTTTAGCTTACTGCTGCCATGTGCAATCCCAGGCATTCTTTGCGGGGGCAACTAAGTGTATCTTTACTAGTGACTTCTAGTTTAAATCTAAGAAACTGTCTTGTGTTGTGGGAAAATTTTGGAATCCATTTAAAGTGAAACTTCTATCACATCATCGAATACATCAAATAAGTACACTTATTTTCAAGCCAAATATTTTTGCTTGATAGGTTGTGCTACTCCATGCAGTGTAGGTGGCCATTCCTAGCTTGTTTGTGCCTGAAGATGGACTTGATTCAAATGGTTTACATATTTTGTAGCGAAGGAGTATATTACAGTACTCCCACCTTTGTTAATTTATTGGCCCTGTGTTTGGTTCCAGACAAAATTAACCCTTTGCTCCTGTGTATCCTGAAGGTGGCAGGTGTGGAAAAACATCAGACTCTGGTGTCAGTGTTAGGGAATGTTCTTAAGTGTTGTTACTTTTCAGTTACCTGTCCCATTCGACATGGTAGAAGGTACTTTGTACTCTGATGTAAGGGGAAGGATATTTTTGGACATTACCAACCGAGATAGGTGGGATAGACCTGCCCCTCCTTAGGTTGTTTAGAGAGCTTTCACCACTTGAGAACTATGATGCTCTTTTCATCAAAGTTTGTGTTTAGTATCTGGTAGAGAAAGCGATTCGGGAGAATTGTCCTTGACTATTGACCTGAAAACATTAATGGAATGTTCTTTACTTCCTGAGTTTTAAGCAGTGGTGATAGATTTCCTCTCCATTAATTTATTTAAACTCTTCTAAAGCTTCTCTGTTTTATATCTATTCTCAGGGTTATAACTCCATGTTTACCATCATCTGCAAAAAGGTACCAAAAAAATCCATAAATACAAATATAGAATATGTTCATAAATACATAAATTCTTTTGGTAAAGTGAGACTTTGATCATTTAGGCTTCATCAGTAGAACTGTTATCTTTTGGACTGAATTAACTGGTCAGAGATTGGCTGGTCAACCAATTACTAATTTCTCTTTTTGTCCAAAATTGTTAGGCCTTTGTGTATAGAAAGCAGTATTTTGGTTTCACCTGGGGAAAAAAACAAGAATTTGGCCTCATGATGTGGAAGGTGTGGTTGACAATGGTAGCTTCTCAAGTTCTGGAGTAAAACTAAGGGATTGTAGTGAGAATCATGTTTATGGGTTTTTTTGGTCATGGTGCTATTCCTAAGGTTAACTTTGAATATGTGACACACACTCCTAAGTACTTTAAGGAAAATTAATAAATAATTAATAGTTCAAAATGTTTACATTGAGCACTAGAACATGTTTGACTTTTTTTCTACTTCTCTTTATGCGAAATGCGCAGGGATTTAATGCACGGATGTACTTTAATGTGTTTGGGATCAGTTTGTATTTACTTGTGAAAAAAGACAAAAGCTTGCAGATTGAATGTAAACTGATCCGGAAGTAAGTGCTATAGCTTTTCATTGCACTTGAAGTCACTTAATGGTGTATATGAACAACAACAAAAACTGCTGTGGTTGTGTATGTCCAAAGTCCTATGATTTTACTCATTTATGGTTGAAAAAAAGGGCTGAGGTATTTAGATTTGAGTTTTGATTCCTTTGAAAGACTACTAAGAAAAAAGATGTCAAACATTTAAGAAATAGGTGAGGTTTAAAAACTTTTTTTTTTCCATATCAGACTTACTTTAAAAGGGTATACTGACAATGTGTAGTAACTTCTGAATAAAAGGGAAAGTGTATCCCATTTTCAGATAATTTTTAGGGCGGTCATTCTCCCTTTATTATTTTAGGGGAAAATCTGTGATTAAATCCTTTCTCAATTTAGTAATTATTTGGAAAGAATGGTAAAGCATTTACTCACAGCTTCTAAGTTACAACACAAAAGTTTCTTTTAAGTAGTAGAGAGTTGTAGCTAAAAAGCGAATTAATTTTATAATACGAAAATGGGGAGAAAGAACTTACGTTTGGGGAAAAGGCACTTCAAATCCTAGAATTGCAAATGAAAAAGGAGGTATGAAACAAGCCAATAAAAAGGCCATCTTGAAGGTATTACCGTCCAAAAATAAGAATAAGACTTGTCACTAAATCTTCACACTCCATTGGTTGCTGACATCTTAGGTAACAGTTCTTGGAACAGCCTTGGGTTCATACTACATTCCCTCCGCCTCTTCTAGCCTTTTTTTTTCTTTAGAATAATCAGAAGACAATTTGTTAATTTCAGTGTATCATTTTAAAAACTACGTGGAAAGGACTTCAATCTCTCGTCAGTGCACATTGAATTTGTGCCCCCTGAAAAAAATGAGAGGTTTGTGTATCGGTAGAATGCAAGAACATTGTTCAGGGTGCTGACAGTAATGTTTTCCTTTCTACTCAGTTGTATTGTTTTTTTTGAGTAACTTTTAAATGGCTAGAACAGGTCTGTTTGACTTGCCCTTCATAGCTGAAATACCAGCTCCGTCCTTTTCATCCATGTTAAGTCAGCACGTTTCCTTTATTCGGCATCTCGGAGTTGTCCACAAACACTTCAGTATCTTACGTTGTATGGAAATTGTAGTTGAGTTGTTTTCTGGTGTGATGTATTGGGACACAGCACCCTCACTGCGGGAGAACTCTCCGTTACTATGTAAGTCCATCTCTCAACTTCTGCTGTGGATAGCAGGATGTAATAAAGCAGAAACTGTAAGAAACTTGCAACGTCACTGTTTAAAGACTGTCTGATTCTAGTATTTGGGAACAAAGACCAAACCAAGTAAAATTTGTCAACGCTAGGGAGAAAATGGAACATTGTGGAAAAATCTAGTCCAACAACTAGATTAGCAAGTGCTAATACCACTTGGTAGCTCAAAAGTTGTGAATTAATGGAGAGGATTAAAGTGTAAAGACAATAATGGTGAGGGCTGTGTTGTCTTTTCTCACTTTTTAATTAAGATTTTTGTAGCTATTTTCTTAAATTACAGATGTTGCTGAAGGGTACGTGGGGATTCTCAAAGTTGGGGAGATTTTTACTAGTCACTAATAATCTGCCAAGCTGGTTCCTTAATACATTGTGAATTTGGTGGAAAAATATCAAGACTTTTACTTGGTGTCTCCTTAAGGATTGCTTGTATGGATCTGATGTAGGGAGGTTGGATGGGGACAATTACAACATCGGGGTCTTACAGATCTGCAGGCTCTGTCTTTGGCAGCATGTAAGTAACTGTAGCGTATATATCTATTTGTCACGACTGATCGTTTCATTGAATTATCAGTGTTTGAGCATATTTTCTGGTCATGCTTTAGTTTTTAAGGTAAGTTTTGTCATTTATTAAAACCTTTAATGGAATTTGAACTCCTAAAGAGGCATTCTGACTGACCTAACTGAAATGAGATGACCAGTTACAGTTTGCATGGATTGGAGCAGCCAGCCTGGCCTACAGGAATATTATTTAGAGGTTATTACCTTTTTTGATCTGTGGTTAAGTGTTAAAACAATCTTTCATTTTTAATATATTGAAGGTAATTTTCTAGGTGTTGATCCATACTTAGTCCTCGGACGGTATGCACACATTCAGTTCGCCTCTGAAATTCTAACCATTTCACTGGAGCTGGACAAAAAGGCAAATCTTTAATTTTCCACTCCCACACAAGATCTCTCAAACTTTTCTAAATTAACTCATTACCACATCTCACGACTCTCAGTTGTCATCTAGGAACCAGTTTTAATTTACTTTTTTAAGTCAATTACTAACTAAAATAGTAGAGTGTAATAAATTTAATGTTATCCTAACATTTTTTTTTTTTTAAACTACTTCAAGCCTTCTAGCTGAGTAATTCTATAAGGTCTGCAATAGGCAGTCGATTTCCCTTGCAACTCATCTTTACTCTTAAACAACTCATTTTTCTCTCTCAAACCACTGTCCATTTGTGATTTCTTATGCAGGCAGAATGCAGGGCCACGCCCTGTCGTATGGGCCGAGGGGGGCTGAAGGGAGTTGAAAGATGGGCCTGAGAGGGAGTTGTCCTTGGATTGTCTGTGCCCTGCTGCTTTTCATTAGGGAAGTAATAAAGTAGCTTGAAAACCAGGGTTGATTTCTGATACCTTACCCTGCGCAACAGTTTAAAATGCTTTGAGATCTCTCTCAAGAAGTTCATTAAACCCAGAAACCAATATTGCACTGTATGTTAACAAAAATTGAAATTTAAAAAGTTCAGTAAACAGATACAGGATCCCTGAATTCATACTTCATAGAACTTTTGTCAGATTTTTAGGAAAAAAAAAAAAACTGTAGTAGCCATCACAAGTCTTTGAGAATCATGACTGTTAACCAGTTAACTGTTTTCTGGGGATGAGAGAAAGCCTTAGAGTGATGAGCTCCATTAGCTGTCAAAGCCAAAGAAAATTCTGTGGTGCCATCACTGAGTGTGTTGAAGACTTTAAATAGAGGAACTTAAGTGCATCTCTTCAACAATAAAAGTGACCAAGCTAGCAAAGAACAGCTCTTGATTCTGGAATTATTTCTGACAATCTCCAGACCTGAGGTGGCCATACTGTAGAAGCTGACTTCTCAGTGTTACCAACTCCCCCAGAAAACAGAAAGGTGTTCAGCTCGGGGAGTTACAGAAAACACAGAGACTTCCTGGCATATGGGATCTTTTTGGAAACTTGTGCTTTGGGAGGGATGAATATCAGTGATAAATGATGTTTTGCTTCCTGAGTTTTGATCATTTCATTGCTTCTCAGTGAAGGGCAGACAAGAAAGAAGGCATCTCTACTAGCTCTGATGAAAGCCTTGCTCGAGAGAGGTTACTGTGATTTGCAACTGAAAGGTTTCCCCTCTGTGGATTTACCACGAGCCACAGCAACCAATAATGTCAGTACTTCAAAAGTATGTGAAATAGGCTAGTACATTTTCATTCTGATTCAGACATGCTTCCATCTTTTTCCATTCTCAGATTTGTTTTTCATACTCCACAAGTAAAATGCTGATGAGATTGAAAATTTTCATGCTTCTACGGCAATGATGTGAAGTTTATTTTGGATCTAGGAGAACAGTTTTGTATTAAGTATCATAATTGGAATATGATTAGTCCTTAAAATAGAGAAACTAGAGATTAATTGCTTTGAATCAAAACTGTAATGTCTACATCCAAGTTCCTTCTATTCAACACAGACCATCTTAAAGCACACTGATACAATTTAAAGTGGCCATCTAGGTGAACTGTGATGGTACTGCTGCAGATGTGAAGTTCTACTCTAGGAACGAGGTTTTTGCCATATCCAAATAGGAGAGCAGTGATGCCTCAAGCTCTCATTGACTGCTCCAAATCACCTGACTGACCAAGACCATCTGGGGCAGGAGGACTTGGGGGATGGTACTGACCTGTTAGTATTCAGTGACGCTATCACAAATGTATTGTTAGAGCAGTGTCCTCCAAAAGTTTTAAGCTTGTACCCTAACATACAAATTGGACTTGATCCTGTATATATTTCTAAAAACTGTTTGTAGTTTTCTCAAGGAGAATAAAGCACTTTATAATTTACCAAGTTCTCTAATAAAATTAACACTGACTTACATGTATGCATTATTATTTTAATTTCCCACACTGTCACTCTTCTGTCTTCCTGAGTGCTTATATCTTTATTCTGTGACATTCCCATTGTAGGGCTAAGACTAGAGTTACAGCTTCATCAAGTTGGAGTGGCTGTGCACAGTAGAATTGACTCCGTTATCCACCCCAACACGGTTACATATTTGAAGTGCAGATTTTCTTAAAGTACTTTAAAGAGCCTACTTAGAGTTTCTTTTGTAGACTCTTGTTTCCCCTTATTTTGGATTACAAATAAGCATTTATTAAAATGAGATTGTATTTACTGGGCTCCTAAATTTCATCAGTATATCAAAAAGGAGTTAGTTGCTGTCACTTACGTCCTTTTGTCCCACAGAAGTGTTTAGTTGTGCTAGGATTTTATCTATACTATCAACTGGATATGTTGTTGGGAATGAACTGGTTACCTACTTTTAGTGTGGTTTCAACATGCAAATGGAAGTAGTTGAGCGATGCTGGTTGTCTTCATCCTGCGTAGGCCAGATTTCACCTTAATTTTGTTACATATATACAAGAACGTTTGTCTGTTGTAGCCTATTAATTCACATTCTAGTATTTGCCTAACATTGATTTAATGTGCTGAAGATTCACTTTGGATCTAGGATTGCTTTGCAGACACATTAGTTGGTAATTTTAAATGTTCCTGAGAAAAGGCCTTTCTGAAAACACTGTGGGCCGTGCGCTTTCTCATGGTCTCTGCTTCTTGTTGGAGTGACCGCACAGAGCCCGGCCAGGCAGGGGAGGCTGTGCTGCCCAGCAGTCCGTGATGATGAACTTAGCCGTTGAAAATGCCATTTTTGCAATGCCTGGGGACTTACATTGAACAAACCACCTTTAGAAATAGAATTTCACTGGAAAAGTATAGAAGTCACGTAACTGGCAAAAGGGACTGATGCATTTTGGGGGAGTTGCTTTTAGTACAGGAGTTCTAACCTCTTCTGGGAGAACTCTAACAGGTCTTGGAGAAAGCACAAGCACATCTATGAAGTGAGTTTCACAGACTGAAGGTAAAACCTGAAGGGCTTTCCTTTTGAGAGCAGAAGATCTTTTCCTCAGTTCTCATTCTGTTAACCTGTCAATCAACAGAAGCCCATTTTCACCTCTACTCATTTGCGCTTGGTGGCAGAAGGGCAAACCTCTCCGTTCCTAAAGGAAAAACTAGGAAGGTTGGGTGGTTGGGAGTTTCACTGCGATAGAATAATAGCATTACTTGAGAGCTGACAAAAATGAGTCCTTATTTCCTCATCCTTAGTGTTTCAAAGGGATAGAGTGGGGGAGAGAGTCCAGATGGGGAGTGTGAGTATTTCAGTGGTCTCTAGCCTGTTCGTACCAACTGCTGAATGTCTGCACACGAGGTGGGGTCCCACAAACTCACCCCCCAGCGAGGCTTGTGTGCCTTTAAAACAGTTCTGGATAGCTTGACTTAATGGCTGCAAGGCTAGATTGCCAACAGGTAAGTCCTAACTGTCAGCGGCAGAACTTCAGGTGCATTTTTATCAAGAAATACAGGTTTTGCCTGCTATCTGAAAGTAGGGCGTTCCTGTGAAACTTCATAAGCCCAAATGGGATAAAGCAAAGACGCAACTACCATTAATATATATGGAAAAAATTGAGGGCATTTGCAGACTTTGAAAAATCACCTCTCAGGCTTCTCTGATACCTTAGGACTTATCTTACTAATGGATGCACAAAAATCAGTGTAGATCAAGCCCAGATGCTCAAGACAGTTCAAGAGCTCTGGCAGCACGGGGAGGAGCTTGGTGGGCCGCCCTTGGCGCTCAAGCTGTGTGCTGCCTCTGTAGAGGCTCTCCGCAAAACCAACACCAAGCACTATTTGAGCTTTTTGCTCCCCCCCCTTTTTTAAAGATTTTATTTATTTGAGCGAGCCCAAGCAGGGGGAGCAGCAGGCAGAGGTAGAGGGAGAAGCACGCTCCCCGCGGAGCAGGGAGCCTGATGCGGGACGTGATCCCAGGACTCTGGGATCATGACCTGAGCTGAAGGCAGGCGCTTAACCGACTGAGCCACCCTGGCGCTGCCCCCCCCCCTTTTTTTTTTTGTTAATAAAAGTGAAATCCTCTTCTATTTCTTTCGGTTAGCAAAACCAGGTAGATCTTTTGTAAAAGCGAAGTGACATTGTGTGAACTTTCAAAAAGCCTAGGAGTGCATTAACTAATCCTGTATTTGAAATCTGAAAATCTGGCTTTGAGACATTGGCAGAATAAAACTGATTTGAGCCCACCTAAGCTGGTAAACGAGTAGTGGGCACAACATCATGGGGCTCCTCAGCACAACTGGGATGTCTCTCAGGCCACACTTGGCAAATTGCCTCTCCAGAGTACTTTCAGTCCTGCTCGGTGGATTCTTCCACAGTTCCTAGCTCTCAGCTACAATAACACTCCTCAAAGGAAGCTTTCCTTGCCCTGTGACTGTATTCTTACGGCCCCCCTGCACCTCTTCGTTCTTACAGCAACCAGTTAACATGTATAGAATTAGTTTGTTTTGGATTCTTTATCCTGATCCTCTGGATGCCCGGCCTATACCTAGCTCAGAAAATTGTTATTCAAATAATAATGAAACCAGGATTTAATAATTCCAGTTATGTAAAAATGCTCAAATATTTGAAAAATGGATCTAGGATTAAAACCATATTTTAGTTAGATAAAATGAATAGGCAATTCCTTCTTCTCTACTGGTTCATGTTTGTTTTGACTAAAGGTGTTGGAATTCAAACTTCAAGGACCTTCTTGAGGCAGAGCTGTTGCCGTGTCCACAGAGTCACGATGGCATTGCCTTCTCTTGGAGGTTCTAGGAACATTATTTCAGAACTCCTATTGAATATCCTAAAGTAGTTCAACAGAGAAATCTGAAATGATCCCAAGAATTTAGTGCTTTATGATGCTGAAGATACATTCTCACCAGTTTGATCCTGTTCTAAGTAGCAGTTGTCCTTGCAGATTAGAAAGTATGCCATGTGGCATACTACTCAAGACTCCCTTTTGTTGATAAGGAAATGGGAGGTTCTATCAAGGTCAAGAACATGTAGTATTCCTGATGAGAATCACTTGAGTTTTTTACTTATTTAGCCATGTGAGTAACTTTTAAGTTTATTGTTTAGGAATGTGTTACTGAGGAATTGTAAGTAGTAGTAAAATCTTGTGTTACGAGGTTTTTGCATTTACATGAACTTTCACTCGTTTTTCAGAATCTGTTCCTAGAGACAGAGAACCCAATACAAAAATGAGAACATGTATGCATAATCAGAAGGCTGCAGTGCAAATGCCTAGTGAAACTCTGAAAGCAAACATGGTGCCTGAGAAAGTTCTCCGCAGATGTGCCGCTGTGGCTGCAAATAAAATAAAAATAATGAGTAATCTCAAGGAAACGATTCCAGGACCAGAAAATGTCTGGATTAGGAAGAGCTGCAGAAAGCTACCGCATCGAAATGCTTCTGATGTGGCTAAGAAAAAATTACTGTTTATAAAGAGGATGATACCACCATAAATTCTGACAGTGAAAAAGAGCTAGAAGATATTAATAGCAAAACGCTTTCTTTCAGGCAGTTCAGATCCTGGAAAGCAAAAGCACAATAGTTACTATGGGAATGTATAAGCGGGATCAGGGGCCACAAGTAAACTGGCAGTTGCATTCTGCTTCGAGCTCTAAAGTTAATCCCTTGTTGGCTCCTTTTTGGGGAGTTTTCTAAAAGCCATAATCCAGCGGGTCACAGTGGGAGGAAGCCTTCCTTCCAGTGATCCCTGGTACAGACACCCACTACAGAGAAGTGGAGAGAAGAGACAAGTGGCCTGTCCTAAGATTGTTCCTTTTCAGAAAGGAAGGGCCTTCAAGAAATCTCTTGATTCCTGGGCACCTGGGTGGCTCAGACGGTTAAGCGTCTGCCTTCGGCTCAGGTCATGATCCCAGGGTCCTGGGATCGAGTCCCACATCGGGCTCCCCACTCAGCGGGGAGCCTGCTTCTCCCTCTGACCCTCTCCCTCTCATGCTCTCTGTCTCCCATTCTCTCTCTCAGACAAATAAAATCTTTAAAAAAAAAAAAAAATCTCTTGATTCCTTAGAGGAAAAAAATAATGGGAAGTGTACAGGGTCTGTAGCAAAAACTTCAAGGACTGAAAAAAAAAAAAAAGTCAAAATCGCAACCTGATGCTAATTTTAAGGGTTCAGACCAGCACGGCTACGGTGTGTCATTACTGCAGTAAGGGGGAAAAAAGTAGGCACATTTCAAGAGAAGTGCCACTGAGCCCAATAGACTTTTGAGCGAAGCAAATACTTTCATAAGATCCAGTCCCTAGAATTCATAACCTCAAAAGTCAAAAACAACTTAAACTAGAAGGACCTGGGGATTCAATGATGGGGATGTTGATAGTCGAGTTCTGAAACAGAGTGTGGGAAAGAGGCAATTAGGGAAAATCCATTAATGTCTTATTTTGTTTATAATACTGGAATTCATACCGAATGGTGACCACTTGATATGACTAATTCAGGGAATATATATTTTTCTATGAAGGCTATGAATGTGACTATCACAACTCCTTTTCCTCATTTTTACTTGCACATAACAGCATTTACAGAGATGCCAAAATGTGCCTCATTATGGGGCAAGGTCTTAGTTTTAACCAGTTAGAAAATAAAAGGTATAGATGAAGATCAAAAGAGTCATATTTTTGGATGATACAGTGACATCCTCTTATGTTTCTCTACAGCACCTTAAAAATTAGTGCTTTATGTACACTTTGAGCAAACTAATTACAATCTCATCACAACAAACTTTAACGACAGCATGTGTGGGCTCTTGTGGCCTTTGCTAGGATTAGAAAATCTGATCTTGATACTATAAAGAATTCTTTGCAGTGAGGTTTAATTTGTTAACAGGTATTTGTTGAAATTAAGATCACCAGATTAAATGAATGCACTGTTGAATCTTTTTAACATAGTGACATGCTATTGGAAAAA